GTTTGATTTGTCTTTAATTAGGGTTTGCTAATTATTGGTTTTAATCTTTCCATATAAAACCCTAATTACTAGAATTTGTATATAAAATATTAAATTGCGGAAATTAAAATTACTATCCTATTACATGATTTAGGGGAGGGGGTGTACAAATTATAAATGGGGAAATGCAAGAAATTAAATATAAATAGTTATTACAACCATATTGAATTTGAATAAATGTACAAAATTGAATAAGTAGAAATGTAAGAATATAAATGTAAAAGAAATGTGATCCAAATGTAAAAGAAATGTTATTCAAATGTAAAAGAAATGTGATTCTTTGTTTGGTTTTTTATGAAAAGGTTTTTTGACTTAATTAATTAAAATACAATAATCAAATAAAAAAGAAAATTAAAATTAAGTTAGTAAAATATTTTAATTTAAATAAAACAATTTTTTTAGAGTTTTGGTGAATTTAGTAAAAAAAAAATATTAAAAAAAAAAAACCTAAATTCTAAATTGACTTTAATTTACAAAATAATATAATAATAATTAAAATTAAATTACCTAAGTATTTAAAAAAGGAAATTAATTAAAGAAAATGTTTTTGTTCTTTTATTTTTGTAAAGAAAAATAAACTAAATAAATAAAAATAATAAAATATAAATATTTTTGGATTTTTTATTAATGAAAATAATAATAATAATAATATTAAAAGATAAAAGAGTAAACATAAAATAAAATAAAAAATAAAGTCAGGGAGGTTGATAAGTGAAACAAGGAGTATTGTGAGGAAAAAAAGTCAGGCCCATAGGATAGAGGCTCAAGCGCTTTCCTGAAACAAAAAAAATGTCAAAAATGTAAGAAAAAAGCAAAAGGCAGCGTGCTGAGGTTCGAACCCATGACTTTTTGATTCCCAGCGCGCTGTCTTACCACTGGGGTGGCTATACACCCGTTAATATAACTGAAATGATAAATATGTAAGACAAAACAAGTTCTGAACACACTTCATCTTCAACCTCCAGCCAGACCACCTGTAACTTCACGATTTCTCAACAAAAATGGAAAATACAAACATGAAAGTTGCTCCATTTTTCCATACGAATCCAACCATATAAATATCATAAGCTATAAATCAAAGATGAATGAGAGTTTTTGAAAGTACCAAATTCTGACCTAAAATTCAATCCTAAAATTCTCCTAGCTTAATCAATATAAATAAAATCTATGGGCATGTACAACTTCAGGGCAATGGTGTCTACATTTTATCTTCACAAATGCAAGCCTAACAATGCCTAAGTAATGAGATAGAAGTTCAAGAAAAATATCTCAAAACTGGAAATCGTGAAATGCAAATGAGCTTGATTCAAGGTGCTGCAATGATCAGGTTAGCTTCCTTGAGTCTCTAGGAAGCTAATGCAATGCTTAGCTTGAGTTGAAGGTGGCTGAAATGGCTTGGAGAAGTCAATGTGAAATACTCTATTTTGGTTATGGAGGATATGGTAAATGATGTTACAGTGATGAAACAGGGACATGGATAGGTTACACTTGATGTAAGGAAGCTTTAAAAACTAAAAGCCAAGAAACGCACGAGGGAAATATGAGTTTGGTGTTCAAGGTCAGAAACTGTGCAACAATGGAGTTTTTGGGAAATTTTTGATTTGAGAGAGTTTTGGTGTATTTCAGGGTGCTTAAGCTCGTGTGTTAGCTCACAAATAGTGCCTCTATTTATAAGCAACAAGTTTGGAAGCTTGTTGTTGATCAGAATTCAAAATCACAAGTTAAGCATAACATGTGATTTTTGAGAAATCCAAGTTTCAAAGCTTTGTGTACTGGCTAAGATATAGTGGTTATGCTTTAAACACACTTGCTTCTGACTTTGTAGATGGAGTGTGATCAGAGGGAACAAGTTAGAGGCTCAAGAATTGACTTTGCACATAAAGCTTGCTTTTCTAAAATGGAAGTGTTCACTTTGTGCCATTAATGGAAATGTGGATTGGATAAATCTTAAACCACTTGGATTAAAGCTCAAAAGTTTGTGTAATCCATTAATGATGGATAGATATACAAGTTAGAAGGTCTGCAAAGCAAGATTATGCAACCTAATATTGAAATTGCATTTTTGTTCATCATGAAAATGACCTATAATTTTAGTTTAAAACCCTAACTTCCTCTCTTCGATTCTCCTTTCTCAAGAATGATTTCAAGGAGTTCTTAGATATTTTAGAAAGCTTGTAATGTGCTCTACAACCCCTCTTTGAATCACTTTTGAAAATTCCCCTTGGACTAGGGCAAAATTTCACTAAGTGTTTAGTTTCATGACCGTGACTTCATACACTAATAACTTGAGATCCAAGCATTTCTAGAAGAAGTTGTGTAAATAAATGTTATAGATATCATTGATATCTACAACTTTCATGCTTAAAGTTTCTTTTGAATCATCTTACATCATGGTGAAAAATTGGCTCAAAGTTGTGAAAAAACAATGAAGTTTTCAACACTTAGAAAAATTTCTAAGTTTGAAAACTTTGACTTTTCAAAATGAAATCTTGACTTTTTGATTTCTTGATGAGCAAGTTTCATATTTTGACATGTTTGGATGAATTGTGATTTTTGACACTTGATTTTGACCAAAAAGTCAAGTTTGACTTTTCAGTGTACAGTTGACTTTTGATCAGCTGACTGAAAATGAATTATCAATCCAATTGATCTTGAGTAATGTTTTGAGTCATACTATTAGGTCAAAATGGTGCAATTGAAATCTTGAGATCATGCTTCAAATCAATTAACCATTTGCTAGGTCAAAAATCAGAAATTGCCCTTTCTCAGTCAAAACTCTAATTTTGACAATTTTGCCCTTTTGATGATTTGATCAAATTTCTTGAGGAATTGTGGTCCAAACTTGATCAAATGATACATATGAGTTTATAATGTTGATGCGGATAAAAAATTATGAAGTTTGACTGTAAATTGGCCACAATTGACTTTTTCTCCAATACTGTTGATTTTTAGGTCAACTGCTTAATTGACTGAGCAAAAATGTGATTCAAGACTTGAAACTTGACATGAGTAATCTTGGGGGTCCATAATGATCCATGAAAGTCATATGAGGCATTGAAAGTTCAATTATCCTTGTGCAATCTCAAACCCTAATTTTAGTCATCAGTGTTTAAGGAGGTGTTTTGAGCTGATCAATCTTTATGCAATCTTGAACCCAAGGAGATCTTGTGAGAAAAAAATACTTGATAAATGAGAGGAAAAATTTTGGAGTACAACAATGTGAAATTTAACTTGCGTCTCATTATCATATTTTTGCTTATGAAATAGTACTTTTTTTTATCGTATTTTCCATTTTTTACGGTGAAGCTATAAATTTAAAATGTCATGAAATTCATATTTTCCTTTTCTTGTAGGCTTAAGATGTGATAGACCATTTTACGGAGCTTACTGGAATGATCAAGGGGTAACTAGGAGTAACTCATATCATGTGTGTTCCCAGGATATTTTAAATCTTTATGGACTACTTTGTTTATAATAATTGTTAATGCTAATAACTTTATGAAGTTTCTTTTTGGAAAACTCTTATATATGTTTCCTTTTTTTTTATGTAATTTGCATATGTTTTGTTGCCGATCTTAGAATACACTATCACAGGAATTCCTATGTTAGGCCATGAAAAGAATCTATACAAACAAAGTGTGTGCATTTATGGCTAACCATATTTCTACTTTTTTTAGTTTGTTTTCATGGATCATTTTTTAATACGATTATCCGTTACGAATTTCTAGATCACTGAAAGTTTCATACAACTAATAGGGAGCAAATTGAAGGATGTAATATCAAAATGGATAGTAAATCTGAATTACATCTTTCATCTTTTGTATTTTCTACTATTTCTATTTTTTTATTCTTTTAGATTCCAACCCTTCTGCCTCCCTCACCTTTCCCATTACTAACCATTTAATATGCACGTTACAATATGCAATTACCAATTTTAGTTCCCACAAACCTTTGTATTCCATATTCCACAAGCATAGTAGTTGATGTTCTTCTTCATCTTCTTTCTTTCACATAGCCCTAACAATGAAGAAACTCTCTTTCTCCTTCCCTTCTTCAAAATCTTCATCTGAGTCTAACAATTTTGTAAAACCCTCCCAAACCTTCAACGATGATTCTTCCACAAAAATAGTTAATCACTGAATTTGACCCTTTCAAACTCCAAACCCTAGACCTTAATCCCAAAACCCAAATTCCCCAATAGAAAATCAATGGCGTGCGAACCAAAAAATGAAGAATCTCGACCTTCCCATCACTAATTTGAACTCTTCCAATTCCCCCACTTTCGAATTGGACATCTCTTTGATCTCTAATAAGCCTGATTCTGATAAGTCATCTTACGGTCTCAACCTCCATTTCGGGAATTCCGAGAACAAGGAACAGCTAGGTGAAAAAGATGCTCTGAGGCCCAGAGTTTCAATTGAGGTTAATAGAGATATAAATCAGTATTGCTGGAAAGAAACTCAAGGGTGGATCGACTCGTGAAGTCTCGGACATCACTATGTCACAGGTTAGTAAATTGCTGCAACATATTTTTAAAACTTTATTGAAAAATTTTATTTTGTGAAAAAATTAAAGATCAATGATAAGTATGTTTTTCATTTTGAACATAAGGTTGATGTGGAAGTGATGTTTGAGCTCCCTGATCTAGAAAGTGGCGAGTGGTTAGAAGATGCAAGTGAAGTTTATCCTTAACTACTATGCAACAAACGATATGCATCAAAAAGTGGACATATATGACCATTAGGTGTGTTAGCTTTAGCTTCAAAGGATCACACAGAGAAAAATGCAGTGTCTTTTAAAATATATAAAACTCCTAATAGATATCTAATTTTTGACTTAGTTCTTTAATTTTTTGTCTTATCATACTCAATACATTCCCTTGAGATATAGTTTTATGATGTTGGCGGTTTTGATGCAATCATTACACTATTCATCACCAAAGTCAATCATATGGAGGAACGATGCCTTCCCGCAATGGTCTTCATGTTCCTAACTATTGTAAGTCTTCATGTGCAATTTAACTCGAGTCTCGTCATCATTTTTATGCTGATGAAATAGTATTTTTTCCTTCGTATTTTCCATTTTTTACAGTGAAGTTATAAATTTAAAATGTCATGAATTCATATTTTCCTTTTCTTGTAGGCTTAGGATGTGACATACCATTTTGTGGAGCTTACTGGAATGATCAAGGGGTAACTAGGAGTACCTCATATCATGTGTGTTTCTGGGATATTTTAAAACCTGTATGGACTACTTTGTTTATAATAGTTGTTAATGTTAATAACTTTATGAAGTTTCTTTCTATAAAATTCTTATATATGTTTCTTCTTTTTATGTGCTTTGCATATGTTTTTGTTGCAGATATCAGAATACACTATCATAGGAATTCCTTTGTTAGCCCATGAAAAGAATCTATACGAACAGAGTGTATGCATTTATGGCTAACCATATTTCTACTTTTTTTTAGTTTGTTTTCGTGGATCATTTTTTAATGCGATTATCTGTTACAGATTTCTATATCACTGAAAGTTGCTTACAACTAATGGGGAGGACATTGCAGGATGTAATATTAAAATGGATAATAAAGGTGAATAGCATCTTTCATCTTTCGTATTTTCTGCTATTTCAATTTTTTTAGTCATTTAGATTCCAACCCTTCTGCCTCCCTCACCTTTCTCATTACTGACCATTTAATCTGCACGTTACAATATGCAGTTACCAATTACAGTTCCCACAAACCTTTGTATTCCATATTCTGCAACAATAGTAGTTGACCTTCTTCTTCATCTTCTTTCTTTCGCATAGCCCTAACAATGAAGAAGCTCTCTTTCTCCTTCTCTTATTCAAACTCTTCATGATAGTCTAACAATTCCGTCAAACCCTCCCAAACCTTTGACGATGATTCTTCCACCAAACAAGATCTTAAAAATCTGTTAATCACCGAATTCGACCCTTCCAAAATCCAAACCCTAGACCCTAATCCCAAAACTCTAATTCCCCCTATCAAAAATCAATGGCGTGAGCACCAAAAAATGAAGAATCTCGACCTTCCCATCACTGATTTTCACTCTTCATATTCCCTCACTTTTGAACCAGACATCTCTTCGATCTCCAATCAGCCTGATTTCGACAAGTCATCTTATAGTTTCAACCTCCATTCTGGGAATTCTTAGAATAAGAAACAGCTAGGTGACAGTGATGCTCTGAGGCCCAGAGTTTCAGCTGAGGTTAAGAGAGAAAAAATTAGTATTACTGGAAAGACACTTGAGGGTAGATCTACTCGTGAATTATCGAGCATCATTGCGTCTAAGGTTAATTACTGCAACATATTTCCAAATCTTTATTGAAAAATTTTATTTCATGAAAAAATGAAACATCAATGATAAGTATGTTTCGCATTTTGAAAATTAAGGTTGATGTAAAAGTGATGTTTGAGCTCCCTGATCTAGAAAGTGGTGAGTGGTTAGAAGATGCAACTGAAGTTCATCCTCAACTACTACGCAATAAATGATATGCATCAAAAAGTGGACAAATATGACCATTAGTTTTTAGCTTTAGCTTCAAAGGATCTCACAGAGAAAACTGCAGTGTCTTTCAAAATATATAAAACTCTTAATATATATCTAATTTCTTACTTAGTTCTTCAATTTTTTGTCTTATCATACTCATTGAGTTCACTTGCAATATAGTTTTCTTATGTTGGCGGTTTCGATGCAATCACAACATTATTCATCACCAATGTCAAGCATGTGGAGAAGTGATGCCTTCCTACAATGTTCTTCGTGTTGCTCAATTTGTAAGTCTTCATATGCAATTTAACTCGTGTCTCATCATCATATTTGTTCTGATGAAATTTTTTTCTTCGTATTTTCCATTTTTTACAGTGAATCATATCTTAATGGTGAACCATATATTTTATCATGATACTTGTGACTTAAATTTGTGTCTTAGTATTTTGCTTCATTCCTGGAAATGGATATGGTGTTCACATGGTAAGTGTCTTCCTCAACATAATATTTCGACTTAGATTTCTATAATCCAGATTAAATTTCACACATTATTAGGAATATCAATTTGTGAGTGACCTTTGTTGATAATGATTTTTGGATTGTATGGAAATATATGAGGCCAATACTCAATTCATGGGTATGAAGTTGCAAGGTTTCTTCATTGTTTATTCAGTATTTGAATATTGAACCTATTGATTTTCGTGTTTGTAGATGATGTGATTTCAATCACTAGCTTTATACTGGTGTGTTTGTTTGCACTTCAAAACTATGGTACATATTATTATCAACAACAAAAAAACTATGCTACATAAGGTGAGGTCTTTTTTTACACCAATTAGGCTGACATGGTTATTGTGCATTAGCACACTTGACTTATACAATATATTCAAACGGAATCCTCATGTATATAAATCTCTTTCATCGTATTATATGTTCAATTTCTTGAAAAAGACAAAACTATGATTTCATTAAGATTTTAACACATGGAATAACTTCTGTGAATATTTACTTTTGAACCAATTCTGGACAACTCCTTATCATATTATGCTCACAAATTAATGGATTCGAGTTTCACATGGAGCATTGTAAAATTTCTATAGTTAATGTGATTTAGTTTATGGCGTACTTCTCATGTATTTACCTTGGAAATAGACTGAGAAGCTATGTTTGCTGATGTTTGTCATTTCAATTATATGGCCATTCATATTAGTTAAAATATTTTCTCATTTACTGTTTCCTATTTTCTCTTCTATAGCTTACTCAAACAGTTTGCTTAATAATCTTCTTTGCAGATTAATATCATCACTCAACTAGAGTTTTTAACCAACTTGCTTTCTACACCGGGTGATCATTTTATGATTACACGTAAAGATGGATTGCTTAGCAGCAACGTATCAGTTTTGGATTCACAAAAAAAAGTTCACGAAGCCCGTGATATGATAACCTATAAGATTGTAAGCAACTTTAGCTATTTGCGAGTAAATTTTTCACCTTCAGCAGTTTTCGTGTACTTTTGTTCTTCTAGCATTCTGGTATAAGTTATGCTGAGAGTGATTTTGTAGTCTTAATTTTCTTAATTGGTTTTGGAGTTGTTTCTTGGTATTCAGAAAAATAACTTTTAGTGACATTGTCTACTATATAGGTTGAGTGCATATTAGCTCCATTTTATGCATGCTAGTGTATTTGAATGAGATGAGTGTTAGAGAAACTTGGTAAAAAAAAGGAGAAGAGTACTTTAATTTAGTGTAGTCAAAAGTGCTACTATAAAGTTGAAGCAAGCATATTGACATAAAGTTTCATCTTTTTAAGAGAATTGGCAAGGGATAAAGCTGTGGAGTTGAGCTACTATATTTTTCAAGAATAAGTTGTTGAAATAATGGCAATGAAAAAGCCTCTTAAATTAGTACAATTTGTAAAACTCTAAAATATGGTAGGAATGATTCAAGTTTTGTGGTAAACTAAATCATTATTGCATATAGTTAAAGGGAGAGAATGTTAGATTTATAGTAATTTATCATTTAATATTTATTAATCCATGTTGCAGGTCATGTAAAAAGTGATTTTGTTACTGTTTTTTTATTTGTGTTAGACTATATAACCAACATTTATTTTCCATTCAATAGAGGATTATCTCCAAAATCTCTATGTTTGCTTTTAGTTTTAATAATAATATATTTATAGTTATTAATAATATCACCAAATTTAGTCATTTAATTTGTTTTCATGTAATTTATCAACAACTCGCTTAGAGTCGACTTCAAAATCCACACATTTTTCTTTAATTTTGAGAAGTAAAATGCTTATTAGTAAGAAAAGATGAAAACAAGAAATACAATAATAAATTTTAACTATTCATTATCACCATCTCCATAATCCCTATTAAATAGAAAATTAAATTTAAAATTCACCTTTAAAATAATGACATGGGTACATTCTTGTATTTCTTCTTTAAATTTTTTCGTGCTAAATAGTACTACTCTTTTGAGAAACACAATAGTTTTTACTCATAAATGTATAATGCTCACAAATTTAATCATTTTTAGGAATTAAATAGTGATTACAATTATTGATAGACCGAGACAATTGGTTCTTGAGGATAATAAGCAGATTAACAATCTTGTAGGTTGATGAGACAGATTATATTTAAGTTTTATATTTTATATTATGATTTAATAATTAAAAAATATATTTTTGAACCATCAAATTTCAATCAAAAGATCACTAATTTACCGAATGCGTGAATGTATGAATTGTCGACTACTGTGGATCTGCATTCTCAAATCAATGAACAAATTATAAGTTAAAAGTATATGAAATAAAATGTTCTGTACTATTTTATAACCAACATAATTTGCACATTTATTTCTCTCATTTATAAGTTGAAAGTTGAAATTGATGTGTCCTTTTGAGTCATTTTTATACTTCCACAATATTGACTGCATAATCTCGCTTTTGACTACAAGATTTGTTTTTAAAAAGTATCACGGGACACAACCTGTTCGATCTACACAAGAAAATATTCATACATATTGCTTTCAGTGTATATTTTTTAGTACAATTATATCATACAAAATAATAAGAAATGATAAAAATAAAATTATATAGATAAAAATCTTTAATATTAACGAAAACATAAAACTACTGATAAAAATATTGAATATTAACGAGAACATAAAGTTACCGATCAAAATATTGAATAATAACATGAGTATGAAGTAACTGATTGAGATATTGAATTTTAATGAGAAAGTTACTGATCAAAATATTAAATTTTAACAAAAATATTAAATTACTAATCAAAATATTGAATATTAACGGAAACATGAAGCTACTGATAAAAATATTGAATATTAACAAGAATATGAATTTATTGATTAAAATATTGAATAATAATAGAAACAAAAAATTACTGAATAATAAAAACGTCAAAATTCCAAAACAAAAATAATATTTAATATATATATATATATATATATATATATATATATATATATATATATATATATATATATATATATATATATATATATATATATATATATATATATATATATATATATATATATATATATATATATATATATATTGATTTAAATATTTTTATATATTAAAATAATTACAAACACTGATATATTATCTTTTTAAAAAAATTATTTTATTTTTATTATATTTTAAAATCTAATGCGCATACAATAGCGATATCCGTGGGAGCATATAGATATCCTACTAATTATTTTTCATAAATTTTGTCAAAATGTAAAAAAAAAATTCATAAATTCTCAAATTTCCTTTTGTGACGCTTGTTTCTTTAGTGTTTTTTCTTTTTAAAAATAGATATTGACCTAAACTATAAAATTCACAATTTTAATTTAAAAATGTTATCCTTTTTGACAAATTTATTTTAAAAAAAATGTCTGATAAAACCACATCAAATTTATTATGATAAAATATGATAGAGATATAATATTTCATGTATTATCCAAAAACTTGAGGTCTAAATTCAGTTATTGAATCTGCAATGTTTACTTTTGTGTCTTAGAATGAAATCCTAACCCCAAAAGGAATATAGCATATATGAGGTCATGTGATCCACTATAAAGAACATGTATAATAAATGAGTTTTCTAGACTTTTTAAAGACAGCTATATAAACCAGAACATATATTTTAATAATTTTTCTGTAATAATTTTTTTACATTATTTTAATATCGAGATTAATTATTTTATAATTTTTTTGATAAGTAAAACTTGCATTTATGAGAAAGTATTTGGGATACTCTATGCCAAATACAGGCGAAAATTTATTAACTCCAATAAATATTTTAAACGTTTATTATAATGAAGTGGATTTTGACACCATAAATAACATCAGTATCCTTACACTCAATAAAATACAATTTGCTTATTATTAAAGAGATATCAACCTTAGAACTGTTCATGTTTTGCTATTGACTTTAATTTGAATGGATTTATGTACTCAAATCTTTTTATAGATTATTTTTATCATATATTTTTATATCATTCATAGATTATTTCTCCTACTTAATCTTAATTCATATTCATTATATTCAACATTTTATTAATCTTAATTATCATCAACCACAACAACTAACAAAAATCTCCTCTATAATTAAAAGAAATTTTGAAAGCATTTACAAATATCTCAAGAAAAATTAAATAAAAAAAAACCCCACTAGATCCATAAGCCGTCTCTCCACCTCCGGAAACGGTCATCACTTTCTTCGAACCCTTAATCATCTTCTAAACAGCTCCAAAAAAGGTATAAATTCTTCCGGTGAAAACCGATTCCTCCTCCGAATCCGAAGAAGAAGCACCGACACAACACCTCGAACTCAACGACGATTTCTTACAAGGACGCGACAATGAAGAGAAAGCTTCAGATTTGGAACCTGGTTCGGAGTTGGATTTTGATTCGGGTGACGAAGATGATGATATTGAGAAGCAGTCTAAAGCTATTGATGAAGTAAGGGAAAGCGCTGGCTTCTTCTCCAAAATCCGTAAACCCTCCTGTGATACGGTGAGAAGAACTGACTGTTTTTGGAATGTTGGTTCGTGTTTTGCGTTTTGTATTCGCAAAATGTCGCGGTAAGCAAGAGTCTCCACCGTCTTTTATTTTATCCAACAAGGAAAGGAAAAAAGCACAGAAAAATTCCTTTTTCGAGATATTTCTGAGTACGGGGGTAGATTATAGAAAGGGAAGGTATTAGCACCCTTTCTATCCGTAGTTATCTACGGGCTCTTAGGTACTTGCTCATCATTTTCAAAATGTTTTCTTTGTGCTTGTGGGTTTTGAAAAGTTTTTGTTCTGACTTCGATTTAACTCTTGCGTCTGTCTTCAAGAGTGTAATGAAGTGTTTTTGAAAACTTGTTTGTAAAAGGAGTGTAAGTGTGAAAAAAAAGTTTGTTTTGGATGAGCAAGTATCTAAGAACTAATCTACCTACTCGAAAAAGGAATCTTTCTATGCTAATTTCCTTTAGACAATGCTATCCCACTATTAGTGAGTAGGTAGCACCGTCGTTGGAGTTTGAGGGTCAATTCAAAAGAGGGACAGACAGTCACTAAAGCAACGTTAGGACGTCTTAGCGGCAACTCTAATGTCTTAGATCATTTATTCGAGACAATGATATCCGAGGCAACCTTTCCGAGGCAACTATGATCTTTTAGACAAGAGGGCGACCTCTAAAACAATCTATACTTAATGACCGTTTACGAAGGCAACCAAGTGGGGTGTATCCTAGGAGTGCGCATGTGCGAGTGTATTGTTTTCAGTTATTTTTATCTTTGCACATGTTTAGGGTGATCTAACTGTTTTAAAATTAGACATTCATTATTGTCATGCAAACCCTATTACCAAACATCTAACAATTGAATATTTGCAAGAATTAAAATGCGGAACTTAAACTAAATTATTACAAGGCGTCGGGTATTTACATCGCCAAAAACAACCCTTTGAAATAAAATAAAAGCGGAAAAATAAATATCCTAATTAGTTATTACAAACCGGGAACATGTACATTAATTGGATAAAGAAAAGTAAAGCGCGCGATGCGAAATTAAATCGAATGCGAAATTAGGGTTTTGACCCTTTTAATTAAAGAAAAATGTTTTTGTTGTTTTTATTTTTAAGAAAAGAAACTAAATCCTAAAATTAAACACTAAATTAATTATTAAGTAAATTAATTAATGAAAAATAATTAATGATATATTTTTGGAGTTTTTGTTAATTTAGGAAAGAAAATAAAGTAATTAAATTAATGTTAAAACCTATTAATTCTAATTGATTTTATTTATTTGCAAAAATAAATCAACGTTACCTAATTAATCAACCTAATTAATTAATTAATATTTATTAATAAAAAAATAAAGTTCTGAAATTAATTGGATCAAAAATAATTTTTTGTGATTTTTTTTTATAAAAGAAAATTGTTTATTGGTTAGTAAATAAATTAAACAAAATAAAATAATTAAATTAAATAAATAAAATATAAGAAGAAGTGAAGAATGGGCCTGATATTTGGGGTGTCAATAGCAATTTCGTTGGCCCAATTGACACGCAGTCCGTTTGACTTTTCTGATCCAACGCGCGTGTATTGACTTGGCCTATGGTACACCTTCAATGCTGGCCACCAGATCTGGCCATCTGGCACGCTTGATGAG